TGACAAATGCAAATTGTCTTAAAATATGCTTCTAATTTTAAAATAATATAAACTAATATGACATTTGAAGAGAAATATGTAAAAATTAGTGCATTAGTATTTAGAGATTAATTGCTAAATGTTTTACTTTATTTATTTTTAGTCTTTTTTGTGGTACTAGGTGTTGTACCTATGAAACACTCTACCATATTCCCAATCCTCATTTTTAAATTTTTGGGCAGCCTCACTAAATTGCCCAAATTGGCCTCAATCTTCTGAATATCTAGGATTACAGATGGGATCCATCAATCTACCTGGATTCTAGTCCTTTTATATAATTCAAAATTTGGAATTATACTTGCAACAAATGTAACCCACAAGGCATTTTCTTGGCCTTGATTAAATATTCAGACCCACAGACAAGCATTGGCTACTTGGAAGAAACCACAGGACACCACCTGTACCTTTTCAGCACGTGACCTTGTAACAATGATCTGGTGAAACAGTGCAATTCAGGAGCATGGAGATGACATAAATATCAGAGAATGCAGGTGTCACTGTCTTAAAATCACATACCCTAGAGGAGTCAACATATCGTGTAGCAGCAACTCTAGGAACACTTTCTGAAGTCCCATGATAGACATGCCAAAGTCCCAGCAACTGAAGATTATAGCATGGAACTCCCTCAGGTGATAATAGTTCTCTAAGAACAGATACAACAATTCACCTATTGGGGGTCAGTTTTAATTGGTGAATTAGGCAAAACAGCTCATCTTATTCTAAGGAAATGCAATTAAATCATCATACATGTATGCCAATGTTTACACCAGCACAATTTGTAATAGCTAAATCCTGCAAGCAGCCTGGATACTCATCACCAAACAACTGGATAAAGAAAACGTGGTTTGTATATGTAATGGGATATGGCTTGGCTATAAAGAGTGACAAGTTTGAGACATTTGCAGGAAAATGGGTGCACCTGAAAAACATGTTGAGTGAAATAAATTAGGCACAAAAGCTTAGATACCACACGGTATCTCTTTTTTGAGTGAAGCAAGTATAAATACAGAAAATGATAAAGGTTGGATAGAAAGGAATGAGAAAATGGATCTCTTTCAGTAGGGGGCAGTCCAAAAGAACAAAGGTTGGGCAGAGGAGAGGAAGGAGAAATAAGAATAAGGATATTCCATATACAGGAGCTTAATAATCCCAATGTATATAAGCATTGTAGGACATAACATGAGCTAAGACAAATAATATTAACAGAAATGAAAAATGGAAACTGGAAGGGGGAGGGAAGTGGAAAGAATAAAAAGAAAGAAAGATGTTATAATATGGACATGTAACCCTTTTACAAGAGGACTGTAAACAATATTAACAACAAAAAATATAAATAAAACCAAAAATTAAAACAAATCTATACACTAAATCATGCATAGTTTCCATCACTATTTAAACTGTTTAAAAACACAACTACCTATGATGTACTTGACCAATCCTCAATTTTATGAACTTACTAATTCCCAAAGTTTTTTTTTTACTATTAAAATGGTTGTTGATGTAAACATTCCTCAAGGACAAATTTTGTTTAAAACCTCTGATCATATCCTTAGTATAAATCCAGGGCATGGAATTAATGATTGTGTCTGAAGTTTATAAAGTTTTTAGTACAACTTTGATAAGTTGCACCTCAGAAAGAAAATAGTTTTCACTTTGCCTAGAATCGTATGAGAGTGTCTGTATCTGCAACAAAATGAACTGTGCTCCTATAAAACATCGGCCAATTTTATATTGGGAAAGTGTTGTGTGTTCAAAAGCTATTTTTCTTTGATTACTGATGATTTTGTAAATGCTTATATTCATCATCTCTTTCTCATTTTGTTGTCTGTGCTTGTCTTCTTGCTTTCACTCTGGGAAGCTCACCTTTTAAAGTATTATGCATATTTACATTTTAACCTCATGTTCTGCAATTTTTTGTAGTCTTTATCTTTCTTTTGAAACAACATTTTATATATAGCTAACCTTGCCAATCCAATTTTTTGCATGCTGTATCAACACTCTAAGTGACACTGTTGTTACTGTTGAGGGCACTTTTGTGAGCATGAGCATTTATGTCTACTTTCTAAGTTTTGTAGAGATTCTTTTGTTTTTACTATGCAGTGAAAATCTTCCTATTTAGTTTTAGAATTTGTAAAATTTTACAGTTTTGATTTTTTGTTTCTCAAATGTGTACCAGAAATTATTCAACAAGTACATGTCCTGGTACTATTTTTTAAAAAATAGATCAGACATGTCTAGAATATTATTCTATTGTTTTTCTTCTGTTGAGCTTTGCTACATATTTTTAAGGGATTCAGTAAACTCTCATAGTATGTCAGTTTTAGAGAGCTGTGAACATTTGTTGCCATAGAATTATATATGCAATTTACACTGGACTATAGTGTAGACATTTAAAGAATTATGGTGGGTTTTTCCTTGTTTATTCTTTTCTTTTTTAAACCATTTTCATTTCTTGCTTTGTTAACCCAGGACAATGTACATTTCACTTATCAAAGAAATATCCTAGATTTGCTTATCAAGTCTATTTTTTTAAACTCTAATTTTCTGCTTATAAGTTTTGCTTTGTTTTGTTTATAAGTCAGGGCTTTTCTATAGAGACTAGGCCAACTTTGAGTATGCTAATCTCCTGACTCAGCCCCAAGTGCTAGGATTAAAGGCATTTGCCACAGAACTTGACTTTTGCTCATCATTTTCATTAATTGATTTCCCTTTTCTTAGTTTTATTAAAAAATTATAGGAGAATCTGGGAAACTAAGAGATGATAATTCCTAGAATTAAAAAGAAGAGATAAAAAATATATTAAGTCAATGGACCATTCAGACATACATGCCCAAAAACTCAGGAAAATGATACGCTTATGACGTAGAAATAAAGAGAATCTGATTTTATTTATTTTTATTTTTTATAATATCAATATTTTATTTAATCTCATAATATGAAATCTTCATCTAAACATTTAGCAAAAATAAAATTCTTTAATGAGATCATTTATAATAATTTTATATTGAATATTCATTGATACATTTGTTTCAAATTGACAACATATCTCAAGAGGAGAGTCACACTTTTGATGCTTAGTATTTACATGCAGCTACTTTATTAAAAGTAAGAATCTGATTTTAGACTAAACTCAGTTGTTCTATGTACAGCAAGCATTAAACCATTGAAAATAGGACAGGATGTGGTGGTGGGTGGAATATGCTACCTCATCAGGTACGTAGTTGGTGACTTCTGTATTTCCTCTTATTATTTAGGCTGGTAACACAAGGATAAGGTAAAAGCACATAGAGTTACCTTCCTTCTGGGGAAAGCTCACCTCCCTCACTCTAGAATGTGGCAGTAGAACTCGTATGGAAATTTCAGTAGAATCACATTCTCTTCAGATGAAGGGTGAAGAATGGTTTTCAGCCATGATCTTTGTTCCACACTTCTGACCACTTAGTACATGCCATGCACTGTGCTAAATCACTTCCAAGCCTCATGAAAACTCGAAATAGCAGTCAGTTACCTTCATTTTGCATGACAGGGATCAGTAGGGTAACTTGCCCAAAGTTATGCGAACAGGTTTGGGGGCTATAAAATTTGTGTTTTTAGCTATCTTTATACATCCTATTGTAATTTATCACTTCAGTGCTGCCCCCAAAGCACCGAAATTTCAAATCCCCAAAGCACTGTCCATTCTTTAAAAGGGACTTTTGTTGGACATGGGATCCATGATCCAAAGAAACTTAACATGCTAATCCATTATCTACATCATTTTTTTTCCTCAAAATTACAGCCCTTTGTAAGCAAAAACATTGCTACTGAAAATGAAATTTTGGCTGAAAGTGTGAGCAATTGGTATGTACTTCACCATGTGATTCTGTATTTTTATATTGCTATTCCCCCTGAAGAATATAGGGCATGAAGTAGAACTGTTGAGGAAACAGCTATCACTAGAAGAACAACAATGGAAAGGTAACTTTGCCATCACATTCCAACTAATCTCACGCTGTACCAGTTTAGACACAGGAGTGTTTATTTTAAAATTCCTTCAAAATGTCAGTTTTATATATATTTTTTAGTAATTTTGAGAAAGAAATAGCAATGAGAAAGTTCCAAAACAGTAGGATAGTTACAATAATTAATACATTGCATACTGTTGTCCTCATAGTAGTTATTCACAGTACAAAATGCAGACATGATATCTTGTCTAAACAATATTAGTACAAATCTTTCTTCTTATTAAACTAAGAGAGAGTAGCTGTATATCTATCCTAACTATTAAAATGTCAGTTTGAAAATAAAAGTCAAAATATCTAAGTGCTGAATTGCCCTACCAGGTAACACAGATCTTTAAGCTTTGTCTTTGAAGAAGTCTCCCCAGAGAATTGTCTGGCCATTTTTTACTTTTTACCTCATAAGAGAGAAAACAGAGTCAATGGAGGGAAAGTTCCAAATGGATTGAAAGTGCTGTAATATGAATAGAGTCCGAGGCATCAAGAATTTATCACAGCAAACTTTGGGTCAAGCAATGCTCTCATCTTTGGCCTCTCCAGAAGTTCAATCAGAGCAGCAGGAGATACTACTGGGGGGATGCTGTTCCATTCTGGTCTGAGTCTTTATATTAATGACAGCCCCTACAGTCAGGATCTCTTCTGAATACACATAATCCACAGCATAGGTTTTTAAGAGCGCAGTAGCTATCTTATCATGGTACACCTGATTATTTGTAACAATCACCTATGCTTTTCAAAAATTCATATTAAAAAAAATCCAGACACTAAAAACCAATAGCCACCTATCAAGACAAGATGTATTTTAATGACTTCAGAACAGAGCTTCATTCACTCTTGCCTGAAAAAAGCACCACTAATAAGTCTGCTAGTAAATGCCCAGGAAGAGAAGAAAAGGGAGAAAAAGCCAACAGGAAATATTCTTTATATCTGACAATAAAGACAGAAGTCTATTTCTGTACTTACAATAGCAGTTGGAGTGGCAGCCAGCACACAGTAGAGCACCAGAGGGGTAATGAAGCTTTCTTCCTCCGTCCCTGGGTACGGCTTCATCAAATCTCCATCCTGACAGAAGAATCCTTGGATATGCACCTGAAAAGTGTCAGTGCATTCGAAGTAGTAGGCAAGCAGCACTGTCCCGGCCATGATGACAAGCTGAAAATACAGCATGGCCACACAGAGACATTAGCAGGGCTTCGGAGCAGTGCTGGTCCCCTGAGCACACTCCCTCCATCACCCAGCAACTCTCCTGGTGTTGGTATTGGCAAGTGTGTGTGTGCCTGGCTCAGCGAGATCCAGGCTCTGAAAGTGTGTGCTTGCTTATCTGCCTGGTAACATCTGTTATAGAAACTTTCCAGCAAATAATGTGCAGCTTCAATAGGAAACAGAGAAAATGGACAGGCTTGTCAAGAGACCCAGTGTCTGCTGCTGCGCTCTCAGTGTATGCGTGGAAATAAGACAATGTGTCCACTGATGAAAAAGATGTAAAGTTGCAGGGCAGTGACAGGGCAAGCTGTCTACATGTAGATATAAGGGCTATTCTTAACAAATTCCACAACATCTCAAAGTCTACCTTATAAGATTTTAGAGGTAAGTGAATCAGGAGCAAATGACTGATTAAACAAATCAATAAATGATCAAACAAGAAAGATTAGAAGTTAAGAAAAAAATTCATAATCACACCCTAAATTACTGGCAGGTATTGACATTAGTTATAACTCTTTTTTTTTTTTTTTTTTTTTTTTTTTTTTTTTTTTTTTTTTTTTTTTTTTTTTTTTTTTTTTTTTTTTTTGCAGAACGGGGATTGAACTCAGATTGTTGCGTTTGTCAGTCAAGTGCTTATCCTACTGAGCCATCTCCCCGGTCCCAACATTAGTTATAACTTTTTACCTATTCCAAAATGATTTTGCTTTTTTTAAAAAAATGTATTTAAGTGTAGAATCTACAGTCTCACTACACAGACTCATAGTGATCCTCCTGTTTTCAGCCTCCCAAGCACTGGGATTACAGGCATGTGCTACCATGCCCAGGCTCAGTGACCATCTCAGTGCATCTGAGGGGTGGGGCTGGCACGGCACACACCAGGGATTGAACCCCACTCTGTGTGCCTGCCTAAGCAAGTGCTTTAGTCCACTGAGCTATCTCGCTGGCCCTGTGATTTTGCTTTTATTCCAAAATACTTTCTACCTATAAAGCAGAGACTTTGCTGATGATCATGTCTTACTGTAGATATACCCTTCATAAGATTTAGACATAAAAGAGACATTATTATCCTTTTATTTTGCATTAGAAGTTGCCTCGACATTCACTGAGGTTTAAATATCATTTTCAACATTCATGTAGGATGAGTGAATATGGAAACACTTTTCTTATTTATATTTGGAAACAGCAAGATTGTAAGACATTGATAAAGGTAGATAGTAAACAGGATTTGAGGTGGTAAAATTGTAGAAATATAAAACATTTCCTGGAATTCTTCTGGTCTAATATTTTCATTTCATATATAAGAAAACTGAGATTCAATAAGGGAAATCTACAACAGCTGGATGATCCCACAAGAAAACTAAACCCATCCTTAGGCAAAACACTGGGAAAGCAGTGAAATTAAAATAGGGAAAATATTTTAAAATATTGATTTGTCTAAAGCTATCAAAGTAATCATTGTTGGAAAAAAGTCATAACTTGGAAGAATGTCATTATACTTCTGTGACTTAATGTTGTCTCTGTTTGCAAGTGTGTATAAGACAGTGAGGGGGAAGTTATAATCCTTTTTTTTGGCGGGGGGGAAGGGGAGAGGCTAGGAAGTCAAAGAGTTTTATTCCAGACTTAAAATTACTAACCCAAAGTGACATAGCTGGTTAATGTTAAAGCCAGGACTAGAAACTTCCATTTCCTGATTTTCAGGATAAAAACAAACTTTAAACCAAAAGCAACCTATAACACAGTGTTAAAACTGCATCCTGTATCAAAGACTGGAGGGAGGCGGGAGGGGTGAGGTGGGTCAGCTGCATGGCAGAAAGGCATTGTTTTGGTTTTTGTATCCATTTTCCTATCTTTCAGCCCTTCACTGGTGCACATGCAGCCTCACCTACTGCCTCGCTCTTGGGCCAATACTTTTGCAATTCCACTTCACCATAACAAAAACTCTCATTTTCTCCAAGGGCTGTTTGTATTAATAATGTTCCTCATCATTGGAATTTTCCTTTTCACACCTTTTGTCTTCAACTCAGAATCTTTGTAAGTCTTCCAGGTTGTGTCTCAAGTTCAAAATCCCAAGCACCTGATACAGAGGTCCTTCTTTGGGCCACCTCTAGTGCCACTTTCATTAGGGGCCACACATCATGCTCTCCAATCACTATTTGTTGTGCATGACTGCTTCTGGCTACACAAGTGTGGTATTCTTCTAGTGTCTGTCAGTCTTTACCGAGGGGGATCACAGTGGCTTTTCCATCACAGTGTCAGAGCAAGCAATAATCTGTGGATATTCCAATGGTGTTTCCCCATGTCTGAGATTTTTTTTTTTCCAGAAGTGGGGATTGAACTCAGACTCTTGCACTTGCCAGGGAAGTGCTTGTTCTACTGAATCTCTCTGGCCCTTATCTGAGGTTGTTTACTGCTTCCAAGAGCCAACTAACAACCTTAAGGCCAAATATCATTGTTGTTTATTTTTTGTTCTTTCTTTTTTATGTATTTGGTACAGGGTCTACAGAGTCTCACTATGTAGATCAGACTCATAGTGATCTTCCTGTTTTCAGCCTCCCAATCACTGGTATTACAGGCCCGTGCCACCACACCAATCTCAATTGCCATCTCAGCACGCCCTGGTGGCAGTCCCAGCATGGCATGCCGGGATTGAACCTTGGCTGCTGCGCTTTGCCTAAGCAGGCATTTTAGTCTGCTGAGCTACCTGGCTGGCCCTTTATGACTGCTGTTTCAAGTGTCCAGTTTTGCTTTCCTTATAGCAACAAGGAAAATATTTGGATTGGTATGTTTTCTATAGAATTAAGACATAGGTACTCCAAAACTGCTATTTCTAATGGTACTCTTGCCTACAGGCAAAGCTATGATGTCTCTATTTCTTTTGTGCATGGCTTGTCAGCTGAATTGACTTTGTGGTAAGGAACCTGGTTGCTTCACTTGAATGTATTGGAGGTGAAACACTAGAACTTCAACAGCTCTGAATCACTGCTTCTAGAGTTATCTCTCTCCTCCACACAGGGTTGATTTGGGATTTTTGTGTATTTCATCTATGTGGCTGGGATTTAATATTTCTTAGGAGATGTCTGCTTGGAGAACAAGAAAGGATCTGTGGGAGATTTTGTACAAAGTAAATCAAACCCTGATATAGTTTCCTCTCTCAAGGAAAAGTATTTTATTTTATTGGGTGCCTTTCTTCTGCTACCATTTCCTTTGTTAAGTGGAAAAAGTAAAAAAGAAGTAGACCAAAACAAATGTGTATACAGAGAAAGATCTCAGTACAAAATCAAAGAGTAGAGACTTGCAGCACAACTGTCAGAACATTCAATACATCAAAACCATGAATAAAAACATTGTCAGCAGCCACAATAAAAGCCAATATCATCTGCCTAAATGTGAAATCTTTATAATAAATCTTAATAGCACTCTGATTTCATTCTGGAGATAACACTTAGAGAAAAATGGGTGCATTGATCAGTCCACTACTGCATGTGAGAACAGAGAACCCCAGAGATGCAAAGAGCATACAGAGAATTGGCGACGTTGGTAACTTATGAAACAGGACTCCCCCACCAGCACAAATCAACTTGCCTTTGCCTTTTCCCTGAGCAGCCAGCTTGTATGTCATTTTCAGACTTCTTAAACCCCTCAGGACATCCACAACAATGCCACTTAAAGATGCAAAATGAGTGAAAAATCAAACAATTCAGATATGGATTTCCAATCTTATTTCCCAGTGAACATTCTTTGGTTATCATTTCTAAAAAGAAGCTGATGTATTTGTCACAAGAGGAGATTCAGCACAGGTTGATTCTGCTTCCCAAAACAGAGACACCCACTCCCCCCACATGGACGGTGCCCCAGCCTTCAGCGTACTCCATTTCTCCTCCTTGTACTAGGTCATGATTTGTTACTGTCTAGATTTGTGTGGCTGGTGCCAGCTGGCACAGTTGCCCTCGCTGCTTGCTTCCCCATTCCTATTTAGGAATGCATGGAGGGAGGCCATCGTGTTGGTGTCACATCAGCAGATGGCAAGGCTGTGTCGGGTTGAGTACTGGTTGAAAGGTTGAAGATGTCAGTGTGACAGAAGCAGTTATGACCGTGGGAGGATAACAAGGAGTGGGGAGCTCACACACCAGGGACTTTCTTCAGCTGTCACTTCCCAAGAATGATAATCTAATATAAGGAAATGTGTTAAATGCTGATTATTTCACAATTATTCAGAAGGAAGATGCCAGCAATTTCTGAACCACAGCCTCTCATGAGGACAAGACCTCACCACTTCTGCTGAGGCTCTCAGTCCCTCTGCTGATCAGAAACATGTAAATACCACAAAAAGCAATATATGTGAATGTCATAATGCTAAGCAATAAAGTATAAAGTTTGGAAAAATTGTGGAACACTAATTTATAGATCTGATACAAACCGGGGGAACAAGACACCAGGCAATGGTGACATGGCTTGTAAGAGTGTGCTTGTGAGGTTGGAGGGAGAGTTGGTCTGTGGTTTAGAGTAAATCCTAATTACTGGGTAATCCTATATCTATCTAGGAAGAAAATGTCCAAATGGGAAGGAGAACAGTAGAAGGAAGAGGGGAAAGGAAAAGAAAGGTAGAGGGAAGGGATAAAAAATTTAACACATAGAAGGAAAAGAAAGTTTTGTAAAGGGAGAGGGGAGGAAGTATTGAAGGGAAGGGAGGGAAATTAGAAGAAAAAGATTTATTATGTACAGGTACAAATTCGTTATGAATAATGTGATCATTATCTATGTCAAAAATATACCAATAAAATTAATTGAAAAAGGAAAAAAAAGTAATGGGTAATTCCAGTGGTAGGTGACCACTCCTTTTGGTTTGCCTGGGCCTGAGGGATTTCCCAGGGTGTGACACTTGCTGCACTCAAATCGGAATGGTTGTGGACTACATGAGTGCTTAATTATTCTACCTGGGACAATGAATA